ATTTACATTGCGAGGACTCGGGGAACAGCGGGGTTTGATTTACATTGTAGTTCTCCAATGATTTGTGCCACCATGAAAAGATCGTTGAGTAATGACAGGCCACAGCTTCTTTTGCCAATCACCTTCAATCTAAGTGTTTAATACACAAACTAAGAGCTCATCGGCCATGGATTGGGACGAAAGCAAAACACTGGATGGTGAAAATCTGAAACAAACACAGAATGCTGGAGAAACTCAGCTGGACTAGCAGCATCTGTGGAGAGAGAGAAAAAACAGAGTTAATGTTTCAAATCTGGCATGACCCCTTCTCAGAACTGCAGTAAACTAGATGAAAAGAAAAGTACAAAGAAAACACTGCTTCACCTGGACAGTGTGTTTGGGCCTTGGACTGTGAGAGGGGGAGAAAGTAAATGGTTAAGTATTACACTTCCTACAATTCAATAGGGGTAGGGGGAAGGGGGTGCAAGAAATCATTAGGAGTGATGGAGTGGACCAGGGTGTCACAGAGGGAACAGTTTCTGCAGATTGCCAACAGTGGAGGGGAAAGAAGATATATCCAAGTGATGGCAGCCTGCAGGAGGTGGCAGAATTTGGCACAGGATGATCGTTTGAATACAGAGTGGAGAGCAAGTGCCCTACTGCAGTTCTGGGAAGGAGGGGAAACAAAGAGGGCAGATGTGCAGGAGATGGGTTATGGGTTATGGTCAACAATAAGGAGTAGAAATCCTGACTGAGGGAAAAGGAGGTTAATATCAGAGGCACTCTGCTGAGAAATGGCACCATGGGAACAGATAGAGTCATGTGGCATGGAAACAGACCAGTCCACATCGAATGTAATCCCAAACTAAACTGGTCCCACCTGCCTGCTCCTGGCTCACATCCCTTCAAACCTTTCCTATTCATCTATCTATCCAAATGTGTTTTAAACATTGTAATTGTACCCACATCCACCACTTCATAGAACATAGAACAGTACAGCACAGTACAAGCCCTTCGGCCCAGAATGTTGTGCCAACCTATTATCCTACTCCAAGATCAATCTACCTTGCATACCCTACATTTTACTATCCTCCATGTGCCTATCCAACAGTCGTTTAAAAGTCTCTAAAGTATCTGACTCCACTATCACTGCTGGCAGTGCATTCCACACACCCACCACTCTCTGTGTGAAGAACCCACCTCTGACATTCCCCCTATACCTTCCTCCAATCACCTTAAAATTATGCCCCCTCGTAATAGTCATTTCTGCTCTGGGAAAAAGTCTCTGGCTATCCACTCTATCAATGCCTCTCATCAACTTGTAAACCTCTATCAAGTCACCTCTCATCCTTCTTCGCTCCAGTGAGAAAAGCCCTAGCTCCCTCAACCTTTCCTCATAAGACCTGCCCTCCAGTCCAGGCAGCATCCTGGTAAATCTCCTCTGCACCCTCTCTGAACATTCCACATCCTTCCTATAATGAGGCTACCAGAACTGAGCACAATATTCCAAGTGAGGTCTAACCAGGGTTTTATAGAGCTGCAGCATAACCTCACGGCTCTTAAACACAATTCCTCTGCCAATGAAAGCCAACACACCATATGCCTTCTTTACAACCCTATCAACCTGGATGGTAAGTTTGAGGGATCTACGGACGTGGACCCCAAGATCCCTCTCTTCCTCCACACTGCCGAGATTCCTGACATTAACCCTGTATTTTGCATTCAAATTCCACCTTCCAAAATGAATCACTTCACACTTTTCTGGGTTGGATTCCATCTGCCACCTCTTTGCCCAGCTCTGCATCCTGTCAATGTCCCGTTGCAACCTACAATAGCCCTCCACACTGTCCACAACTCCACCAACCTTCGTGTCATCGACAAACTTACTAAACCACCCTTCCACTTCCTCATCCAAGTCATTTATAAAGATCACAAACAGCAGAGGTCGAAGGTCCTCAGGAAGTTCATTCCACACACGAACACTGTGCAAAAAAGTTGCCCCTCACGTCTTTTTTAAATCTCTCTCCTCTCACCTTAAAAGTAGAAACAAGGAGAATGGAATGGAATCCTTGCAGGGAGGAGAGTGTGAGGAAGTGCAGTGGAGGTGACTGGGGGAACAGAAGGAAATGGATATTTGGTTGATAGCCATCCCTCAAAAATGGAAACTGAGAGTTCAAGGAAGGGAAGAGTCGGAAGCTAACAGAAAGTGCAGCAGAAACTAGCAGCATCTGTACAGAGAGAAAAACACTGAGTTAATGTTGAGTTCAGTGTCCCTTCATCAGCATGATTCCGGAGAAGGATCGCTAATCTTGAAATGATAACCATTTTTCTCTACAGATGCTGCCAGACCTGCTGCTGTGTTAGTTTCACATTCCCAGCATTTCTTTCGTTGGCCCTGACAAGGCGATGGCGAGCTGCCTTGCTGAGCCGTTGCAGTGCACAGACTGTTTTTAGCAATTAATACAACTTGCTAGGCCATTTCAGAGGGCAGTTAAGAGTCACCCGCATTGTCGTGGGCCTGGAGTCACATGTAAAGACGGCTGATTTCCTTCTCTAAAGATCAGGAGTAAACCAGCTGGGTTTTTGCAGCAAATGACAGTGGTTTCCTGGTTATCATTAGGGACTTGAACCTGGATCCCACAGCATTACCGGGGTTTCTGGATTACTCCTCCAGCAACAATACCACGATCCCTTCAGCCCCCTCGATCCAGGCCACATTGTGTATACAACCCGTAACATGGCCCCGGAACTTGTTTGTAAAGCTGGAGACATCTTCTCTCAGTTACCTGGTTTTCCTCCATGTTAGTCCACGTTCAAAGAGAGGTAGTCTGTACAGCAAGTAACATGGTAAAGGCCAGAGCAAGGCAACAGTT